GAGTAATGTAGAGCTGAATTCTTTTTCATGAAAGTCCGTAACCTCTTTCAGTAGTATCTCCGTCAGACACTGAATGCACGTTCTTAGTATTTTTCAACTGTGACTCTTAGGTCTGTGCTGGTCATTGTTCTCCTTGCCTTCCTAGTCTCTGTATGGTCTACTCTTAGTTGAGTATTCATGGTGAAGAGAATCAAACTCAGTGTTATTAGGTGAAAAGCGTCAGAAAAGAAAAATCTGTGACAGCCTTCAGGGTAATAGTAATGGAATTTTTAACTTGAAAATTACTTGTGAATAGACTTCACAGTCTTTATAGTCACATGCAAATTATATGCTAATATAACTTGAGCTAGGCAAACTATTTTACACAATTAGTTGAGACATTTAATATTGTGCCTACTCCCCTACAAGTATATCTCACTATGTGTCATAAATGAATACTTGAAATATATGTGTAAATAGAATTTTGGTAATACAAATCATATTTTCTCAATGATTTGCATAATAATATCAAAAATGCTTCATCTTCACTTTAAATTAATCCTAATTGGGTGCGATAACAGTTTTTCTTCCTAAGTATTTCTAAGAAGTAGTAATATCAATATTAAAATGCACCAGAAGTTATTTTCAAAAACCCAGCAATTAATCATTTTAATGAGAGAAATCAGTCTTAAAAAGAAAAATCATTCTTGAACTATGTAATTTTAAGTCAGAAAGGACAAGAGAGATTATTAGTGCAACTCTGTCACCTGAGAAAATTTTGAGCCCCAGACCAGAAAAGTTAAGTACTTTACCTCATTATCACACGTTTAGCTCTAGTTGCTAATACAGATAGACCAGGAGCCCAGGTCTTGAGCATACTTCCCACTGTTACGTTGGTATCGTTTATGTATCGTAAACCTTCATTATTTCCATCTTGAATTGTCTTTATATGTCATGTACCAAGTTAATACAAGTGAGGCCTATTGTGAAGGTTTCATAGGTGGGACTAAAAGAAAAATCTCTTCCTAAAACTATACACCTGGATACTTTGTGTTAAATGGAGTCATGTTCAAACCTCATCACAGCCACATTAGTGTATTTGAACCCACAGACTTTTCATTGAATCTGGATCTCACTCTGACGCTTAGAAAACTTTTTAGGTGCCTGTCACTTAATTGTTGTACATCTTTGAACAAATCACTTAAGTCTCCAAAAGGGTCTTAATTTTCCCTACCATGAAATAGAGCTAATGACTACCTTACAAGGCTATTGTAATGATCAAATGTGACAGAGATGCAAAACATTTCCTGAGTATTTACTGTGTTAGACAGTTTGGCAGTAGATAAAATCAAGTAATTTTGTTACAAAGAATACCCGAGTTTATTATTTACAAGAAAACATTATTATTTACAAGAAAAAAAGTTATTTCATATATATGTATTTTTACTTTTGTAGTTTATATTTTCACAAATAAGATCTCATCTTTTGTTACTCAAGCTTTTTTGTTGTTGTTACATTTACATATATTCTTTAATCGTATTGAGACTTTTAAGTATTCCTTTGTTCATTGTTTGAGAAACTACAAGGTCACCAAGTGGTATTTATTATTTGCTTGATTTCTTTTCTAGATATACTGCATCTATATCTACATCTAGATATACTATAGCAGATTTTTAAAATCTTTTTTTTTTTTTTAAGATTTATTTATTTATTTGAGAGAGAAAGAGCACGAGCGTAGAGAGGAGCAAAGAGACGGGGACAAGCAAACTCTGCACTGAGCATGGAGCCCAAAATGGGGTTGGATCCCATGACCCCTGAGATCATGACCTGTGCCATAATCAAGAGTCCAAAGCCCAATGGACTAAGTCACCCAGGTGCCCCTTTTTTAAAAAACTTTCTTAATGAGGATGACAAAATTACTTTTCACAAAAAAACCAAAATGCCATTTGTCAATAGAAATTGAAGTTAACTGTTGTAAATGTCTGTCAGATATCCTGCTGAAAATTGGGCGAGGGGAGATACTGATAGGTACAAAAGTCTCATTTCTTTCTGTCAGTTTTTTTAAAAATGTTGAGCTTGGTCATCAGAATATAAATTTAGGGGTGCCTGGGTAGTTCAGTCAGTTAAGCATCTGACTCTTGATCTCAGCTCAAATCTTGATCTCAGGGTCATGAGTCCAAGCGTGCACTGGGCTTCGTGTTGGTTGTGGAGCCTACTTAAATAATAATATAATAATAATATATGTATAGCTTTACATTTCATGTCATTGGACAACTCTTACCCGTATTTAATATTAATATAAAGAAATTTACTATCAGAAGATATGGTAATAGAAGTAGACATTTAAATGATATTTTAAAGGTAAAAATTAAAGTTCTAATAATTGTTTTTATGTTCTTCGTACTGTTGTAGTTTTAAAGACAAATTGTGGAATCACAAATTCTTTTTTTTTTTTTTTACTATAAAAGTTGTTGAAAATTAAGAAAATCAAGGTAAAATAGTATATAGGACTTGAAATGTGCTGCTTTAGGACATGTTTTAAATACTTTGATAACCTAACCTTTGTTAATTGCTTGGAAACATTAATAAGGAGGACAGGGTCATATTTATAACTAGAGTTTCTTCTGCCATCCCCTGATTTATAAGTTACTGTACTGCTGAACAGCTACAAAAAAAGACAACAGCCTCAAAATTAAAGGGGTTTAATTTTTAAAAAATTTTAGATGTAAAAATATAAAAAGAGATTTTTATATGTATTGCTGGCAGGAGCTGTATCTCATAGAGATTAACAATACTTAGTAATAGTTTAATATCAATACTATATAAACCAGTTCAGTTTTAAATGCTGTAATTCCATGTATCATAAATGAATATTATCAATTTATATACCTAAATATATTGATTTTTTCCCATTTAATTTTGTTATCAAAGTGTTTATTGTCCTAGAAATCTAATTAGTTTGGGGAAGTTTATTATTTGTAAAGTTCTAAACATTGCTGGTGACTGGATTGTTTCATGTCAGTGTTAAATAAAGAAAGAGATTAAGGTGTTTGGCTCTATGTCTTTATTTTTGTTCCCATATCAAACCTCTCTACCACCTTTGAAGAGAGCCTTAGCTCTACTATAGTTACTTTAACAGACTGGGAGAATAAAAAAGAAATAACCGACTGTTCTGGTTGAGTAGTAGCAACAAAAAACTAAGAATTCTTTTGTGTAGGTGTTGTCTAGTAATGCACCTCAGACAGCAAATTTACTACCAAGCACTTAAGGCAAATTTTATTATTGAATAATTTGGGGCAGAAGGAAAAATGCTTAAGAAACGTTGTTGTATGTGAAATAATGTCTTGAGTAGGTTGGCTGTTGGTGGATTAGAATGAACTGGTTATATTCTCGATCCACCCTCCTTTAACCTATATTGACATTTGTCAAATGGTTGCCTGAAATTCACTTCATAATCTGGGGCCTTGGAGCAGATTTACCGCTTGTGCACATCTAATTGACCCGGATAGGAATTGAACATGCTGCCTTCAAACAGCAGCACCGTCTTCTGGAAGTTGAGCTAGCTGGGACAAATACGTTACTTATCTATTCATATGTATTTATGTGTTTATGTATATTTATATATTCATATACTTATGAAAGAGTCACATCAGTACCATTATGGAATATCATTTTTATGGACACATTTCTTCACTCACTAAACTGGAAAAATGTGTCCATATAATCCAGTCTCTCATTGAAAATGGAGAAATAACTATATGTGAAATAACCATATGGCAAAGCCTCCAATTGGAGTCATATTTATTTTGCACATAACAGTATTCCTTTCTCTTGGTTTTCTATTTTGTTTTTGTTAGGTGCTTTAGGGCCAGCTCTGGCTGTTCAATAAAATATTTACAGCAAAGGGCAACAGGCCGAGTAACCTACCACTGATTTTGCACTCTAAGTAGTCAGCTGCTTTCCTTAACTTGTTAGGTTCTTTAATGTTGCATGTGTGCTTCCAATTATATTTCATATTTCTTTAGGGCACTGATTCTGCATATGTGATTGCCTTACTTAGGATCACACGGAGCAAACACTTCTGTATTTTTAAGGACACCCACTGCTTTTACAGCATTTGTCACTTAAATGTTTATAAAACAGCTAAGCTCCAGAACTTCGTTATCAGGACAATGATCAGCCATAGCACGCAGGTTGTGCATTATCAAGAATATTAAATTCAGTCAGTGTTAAACCAGATGTTCTTCACAGTTACTAATTTTTTTTTAGGTGTTTCATAACATTTGTAAAAACATTTTTAAGTAAGCTCTCCAGCTAACGTGAGGCTTGAACTCATGACACCAAGATCACAAGTCTCATGCTGTACCAACAGAGCCTGCCAGTCTCCCCATTTTTGTAAAATATTTTAAAATAGGAACATTAATACTAATATTCATGTGAGATAATTTTCTTGAATTCATACATTTACTTTATTATTTTTGTTTTAAAAACAAAGTGGAAATTACACTCGCTTGTCTTCATAGGACTTAAAAGATCAAATTTTTAATTACTATTATTTTAGCAGTTTGTTCTAAGAAAATTAAGACTTTCCTGGAAAATGAGCTGAGGTGATCGAGACATTGATTCAGGTGTACTTGGCATAGCACTTCATTAACTATGTGGTAATTATCTATGATTACTCCTGAAAAGCTATAGTGGCTTCATCTTTTAGGTTGCTTCATTAAATCATTAATTTTCTCTTGGAGGTAACTAAGCTTGACATAATTAAGCCATCTCAGTCTCCACAGATTTTTATCTTCCCATTATGTCAAGAACACTGAGCCAGTTAACATAAGGCATTTTAACTTATTCCCAGGGTCTATTGACTGTATATTTTTAAATTATTTTTACTATTTTGGTTCATTTTATATTATATTTAAATAATTTCATAAATTTTAATTATTTCCTTAATGTTTGGGGTTAGATTTTGAATTTCCCTTGTAATAAGCCATTTATGTGTTTGAACCCTTTCTTACCAACAGTTCTTTGAGTGGTGGCTACAGAAAGCTGCTTCAGTTTATCCAGAACGTCATATATGAGGAAGGATTTGATGGATCCAATCCCCAGGTACTGAGTACCTTCAAAACCTTTTGTAATCATGTGTATAATGTTGCTTTTTTTTTTTTTTTTAAAGATTTTATTTATTTATTTGTCAGAGACAGAGGGAGAGAGAGTGAGCAAGCACAGGCAGACAGAGAGGCAGGCAGAGGCAGAGGGAGAAGCAGGCTCCCCGCCGAGCAAGGAGCCTGATGTGGGACTCGATCCCAGGATGCTGGGATCATGACCTGAGCCGAAGGCAGCCGCTTAACCAACTGAGCCACCCAGGCGTCCCTATAATGTTGCTTTTAAACTCCTTAGAGGTAAACCCAGAAGGTCTTAGAATAATCAACAGGGAGCAAGCTGTTTCCAAGCACAGAAGATGTCCATAAGCAGTGCACAGGCAGCCTTAGTTTAATCGTTAATGTGTATTTAAAGTTTTAGCTAAGTTCTCAGTGTATGCACAAAAGATGTATGCATACATTGTCGATGTAAATTATCTGAAGTCCATATTTGTAGCACCTGGAATTAATAAATAACCACATGTTAAAATTACTCCTAAATCTGTAGGACTTGTACTTTCTTATCTAAATTTTTTATATTTGTCAGTTAGTCCTTAACTGAATTCCCTTATGAGTAAAAATTAGTTAAGATTTTATTTCTTATAACATCATGCTTTGAGTTGTCTCATTGAATAAAAGGTGATTTTATTTGCTATCTTAAAATATTTTATAACTTAATTATTTCTCTGTAGCTCTATTTTTAAAAATGGAAGTTTTTAAATTCCCTCTGTTAAAGATTCCAAATTCCTACTATTAAAGATGTTCCGGTTAGTTTAACTTAAACAAAATGAGAGAAATTTTATTTCCAGATATCATGCCTTTCAGTAATCTTTCTCAGTGACTTTAATTGCTATAGCTGCTAAAGATTTTCAGTTCATTATTATTATTTTAGCAGAAGTATTTCCAGAGCACCATTATTTTTACTGAAGAAAGCAAGGAATCCAGAAGTCTTTCTTTTTTGCATTATCAACTGCATTTGCTCCTAATCCATAAATTTTAAGTATTCCTATAAACTTTACTGCTGTATTTAATTTTTTTTCCACAGCAAGGTAATTTTTAAATTTGTTTTGATCATCAGGTTTTTTTAAAATTACTTTTATTAACATATAGTGTATTATTTGCCCCAGGGGTACAGGTCTGTGAATCATCAGGCCTAGAAATTTCACAGCACTCACCATAGCTAATCATCAGTTTAATAGCAAGTTGAAAATACTTATGTGTGTGGTGAAGCATACACATTTATTTATAGATAACTCTTCATGTATGTTACAGTTTTGTGGGCTCAGTTTTTATTACAATTTTATTTTGCTCATTGTTGCTCCATTTTTGGTTCTAGCTAAGATTTATGGGCACTGTGTCATCTCTTTAGTAGCATCGCCCGTCTGGAGAGGTAAATTGGTCCCTGACAGACACCTCTCTCCACTGGCTGTGGTTGCTATGGAAACAGGCATGTCATAACAGTTCCTATGATACAGTGTGCAGAGTTGGTGTTCTTGCAGAATGAGATACATCTTCTAAGAGGAGGAAATTTTATAAAGTGCAAAAAAGCAAAGCCAATAGCAAAAAGATATACTTGCATATATATGTATATACACATGTGTACACACATCTGCACACATCCATCCAAAGGACCCTTGATCAGTAAGCTATTATTAGAATGGAATGAAATGTTTATTTTCCTAGTCATTTATCTGAGTATGAAAAACAACACAATTTTCAATAAATCGTATTTTATTTCATGAAAGTTGATAAGCAACGAATTGAACTGGTTTGTCTCTCTGAACCAGAGGTTCTACAACTATTGACTTTCACAAAGATTAAACAGAGTTGATGTAGATATTTATATGGTGAATACGAAGAATGGTGAAAAAATTTACAACATGCAAAAGCATAAATTTTATGTTGTTTTTATATTAATAAATTTCCATATTGTTATATTATGAAATGTATCATTTGCCAAATTACCTTATCTATACATCTGTCTCAGAAACTTTAGATGAGTTCAAGAAGCCACAAAAACGCATCTATGAAGCACTACTTCAAAAAATATTATTCCTGAGTCAAAATAATGTTCTGATACTGAAATAAATCCTCCTTTAAAAAAAAAAAAAGTTTTTTCATTTATTCATTCGGGAAAGAGACAGAGAGAGCACAAGCATGGGGAGTGGCAGACGGAGAAGGAGAAGCCTTGACTCCCTGCTGAGCTGGGAGCCTGATGTGGGGCTCCATCCCAGGACCCTGGGATCATGACCTGAGCTGAAGGCAGATGCTTAACCCACTGAGCCACCCAGGTGCCCCAAATTCTTCTTTTTAAAAGGAAATTTTCTTCTTCTTTCCTCTATCACTATAGTTTCAAATAAACTTATATTTTCAAATAATTTAGTTTACTTGAAGTAGGCTATTAGGAACTGAGTATTATATACTATTACACGATTACCTTGGTAGTAAGTAAAGTAGTGTAGCTCATCTGTAAGGATATTTGGAATGGAGACATTTACAAATCGCTGCTATAATTTCATTTAAGTTATGAATGTAACTAAATATCTAAGAGATATGTAATAGTAATGAACATTGATTTTCCTTAGAATACCAGATTAAATATTTTACATGTTCTCATAGGAATAAATGTAAGTATTTATTGTTCAGCTTAATACAAAAGTTTATTTTTTTAATTTTGTTATGCCCTACGATGTGCCCCCATTATTATATGTCATAGCAAAGGAATTATAACAAAAACGACACAAGAAATTTGTAATTCAGCCTTTTTTTTTTTTTGCCATTACTGTCATTTTTTAAAAAAATATAAATGTATTCTCTATGTTGAAGTATTATGCTCAGTTATACTCTGGTGTGCTCAGTACCTACCCCACTTAAATATCTTATTATTCATTCTTTGGCTTAATATTTTCATTATTTTTCAGATATATCAATGTATCTGTCAAGGTTGCTAAACCTCTGTAGTTCTCCTGCTTCTGCACCTAACAGCATTTTTGTTATAAACTTTTAGCAGATGCTCTTTGATACAATTGTTGGTAATAGTGACTGGGTTAAAATATAAAGCTGGCCCTCAAGTTTCTGAAATGTTGACAGGGAAAATGATATAATGCTGCTCTCCTTCTGCCTTCAGATTTTGTTCTAATACCTAGATTTTGGGGAAAGGTTTCTTTCTCCCTTTTTCCAGCTTGCTCTTTCTGTTGAGAATCTAATTGAGATACGTGAGAAAACAAGTTTAGGAATGACAAAATAAAATGTAATCTTGCCATTTTACTTAAATTCTCAGTTTCTAAGTAATACAATGTAAGGGATAACCTGTCATTTCACAGATATTTTACATAAATTCATCCAAAACTTATTTAAACTTCTAACACAAGCCCTGGTACATATTATTTCATTTCATTCAAGTAATGCAGAAATTTAAAAAGAAAACAATTTTTATGGACTGCAGAGGATCATAACATATATCTTAAGGTGACTGCCTATCATAAACTTAATATGACCAGAAAAGAAAATTGAACCGGCTACTTTGATAGTAACATTGTGTTCCAGGTTCTTGGAGTCAGGAAGGTTTTTTTTTTTTTTTAATGTGCTTAAACTAAATTCCTTTTTCTGTAATCTCATTTTAATAGCTGTATCCAACCCATTATGTCCCTTTGTAGATTTGAAGAATTGTATAGGCTCATAGAACAATGTTCTATTCTGTCCTTTTTATTGTAGAGATGAGAAAATGAATGCCTAAGTAGTGTATGGGTCTTGCCTAGAACTGCATCTTCTTAATTACACAGTCCAGACTCTGAATATCTGTCTTACCCATTTTACTAATTATTGTCCCCTTTTGTTTTTCCTCTTCTAACATTTTCCCTACTTTCCTTTATTGATAAATTCTCAAAAATAACACAAATTCAACTTTTATCTGTAATATCAGGGAGCTAGTGGGTGGTTAATAAATTATATTAGTTAAATAAATTTTATTAGTTTTATTATAGCAATAACATGTGATATATTGTAGGATCTGGCTTCAGCAGAAATCACACTCAAAAATGGCACATGTTCCAAATGTCTGCTTTGAAAGAGAAAACTTAACTTTCCCAATGAGAATTGTAATAATAATTTTTAAATTACTTCCATGCACCAGGTTTTGCTATTGTCTCCTCCTTTGCCCAGAAATTTTGCCGGATTGCTAAGGAAAGCATTTATAAAACATTTGTTCAGTTAGAATAATACAAACAGTAAAATCTGTTATAAATACATCTCTGGCAAACACTTACTGATAATCATCCTAGGTTTTATTTAATGGTTTTTAAATGTTCTTTTTCCAGGAAATATTAGTCACTATATCAGTAGCCTTGACTTCTAGATGTTCACTTGTTCAGTTTTATGGAAAGCATTAAATTTAAATTAATTGGTAAAAATAACCTCAAAAAGAATAAGTAAAGGCTTATATAGAGAGAGTGTAAAACCAAAACACACATTTTTAAACTTCTTTCAAAGTATCAGACATTGGACACAGTAGCATTTTAAATGAGAAATATTGAGCAAATTATAGTTTATTGAAAGACTTGTAGAATTTTGTAATACTAAGAATGGTTTGTAAGCCTTCTGGTGTAGATGTTCTTTATTGCTAACTGATTTTTTATATATTATTTCAGACGCCTCAAACAATCCTTAGAGTAGTCACTGTTAAAATGTAGAAGATTGAGGCTTTTGATACTCTTCAAATTTTACAAAAGTAAGAAAAAAAGTCAGTTGTGTTTTTGCAGTCTTGTAATAGTGAAGATTTCCTTTATCTTACCTTACACTGACTACGCATTTTACCACCTCTACTGACTTTACCTCCCTAATCTTTTATAAATTTAAAAACTGGCAAAGAGAAGTGAAAGAGGTAGCCTACTGGTTAACGAAACTTAATGTGTTTACCTCCCTCCCACTTTCCTTTAGAAAAAACAGAAAAACATTTTAAGAATAGGAATCCAGAATCTTGGTTCACCTTTGTGGGGAGATGACATTTGCTGTACAGAAAACTGTGACAACAGCCACAGCCTTACGAAGTTCCTTTATGTTCTCCGTGGTCTTCTACGAACTTCTCTTTCAGCCTGTATCATCACAATGCCAACACATCTTATCCAGGTACAAATCTTTCCAAAAGTTCTTTCCCCTAACTAAGGACATAAGGAAGAGCAATATATACATGCTTTATGAGTCTGAATCTGATAAGTTATTTTCATTTGCCATTTAAGTAAAACAGATTTCAGAAATGCCAGAAAAATGTCTTTTAGTTTAGATTGTTAAATTGTTGTGTAGTTGTGGTTTTAATATACAGTGAGTATATGTAAGTCCATCATTAATAATGTTATTATTTTTTTCTTTGATTTCTTGTAAACATGTAATATCATTGTGACATGAGGTTGATTTTTACTGGTATCTTTTCATTAATCATAAAGCTGATCTAAACATATATCTTGAAGAAATATTTGTACACCTGTGTTCTTAGCATTATTTATAATAGCTAAAATGTGGAAGCATTCTGAAAATCCATTAACAGATAAATTGATAAGCAAGATGTGGCCTATATTGCAATGGAATATTATTCAACCTTGAAAAGGAAGGAAATTCTGACATTTGCAGCAACACTGATGAATCTTGAGGACATTATCCTAAGTGAAATAAGTTGCAAAAAGACAAATACTATGATTCCATTTACACGAGGTACTTAAGGTATTAAAAAATCATAGAGCTGATGGTAGTATGGTGGTTGCCAGGATCTGGAGGGGAAGAGGACATGGCAAGTTATTATTTAATAGGTATAGAGTTTCAGTTTTGGAAAATGAAAACTGATCTAGAAATTGTTAGTGGTGAAGGTAACACAACTTTATGAATGTATTTAATTTCACTGAACTGTATACTTAAAAATGGTTAAAATGGTAAATTTTGTGGTATGTATCTTTTTCTACATTCCGAATTTTGAAGGGAAAAAAGGGAAGAAAAAAAGTTGATCTGAATAGGACAAGTCCCTCTCTTTCCTTGCTGTTTCTGTGTATAAATCTCCTGAAGCTACACTTTCAGGAAAAGAGGTCAGTCCTCCCCAGACGGAAAAAGAGGCATCTTTACAAGATTTTCCTCAATGACTCAAAAAAGTCCTTTTCTTAAGAATGTACAAGAGGCTGGGGCACCTGGCTGTCTCAGTCAGAAGAGCATTCAACTCTTTGTTCTCAGGGTCATGAGTTCAAACCCCACATTGGGTGTAGAGATTACATAAATTAATAAAACTTAAAAAAAATTTTTTTTTTATTTCATTTTTTTCCCCTTGACAGAGAGAGTGGGGGAGGGGTGTGGAGGGTGGAGGCATAGAGGAAGAGGGAGAGAGAATCCTAAGCAGGCTCCACACACAGCATAGAGCCTAATGCAGGGCTTAATCTCATGACCCTGAGACCATGACCTGAGCCAAAATCAACAGTTAGATACTCAACCCTCTGAGGCACCCAGGTGCCCCCCTCAAAAAGTATTTTTTTTTTAAAGAGTATTCAAGAGGCAAGTTTGGGACAATTTTCATCATTATTTTTATTAATAATAGAGGTAATAGAGAAACTAGAATTACATCATATATTTTTTCATGGTATTATTTTGTATATATTTCTATAATAAATGTACAATAGAATTTAAAAATTGGCTGCAGTGAATGGAATGTGAAAGTCAAAATAAACAAAATCCCTGTAATCATTTTTTCTAACTTACATACTAAAACACTGTGAGGGGAGGAGGCGGAGGATGGGTGGTCAGGTGATGGGGAGGGTATGTGTTGTGATGTGCACTTTGTGTTGTATAAGACTGACGAATCACAGACCTGTACCCCGAAACAAATGATACATTCTATGTTAATAATAAAAAAAAAATTAAAAAAAAACCACTATGATCTGAAATGACACTTAGAGCAGAATAGTTTTGAGTTTTGTTTTCCTTTACTTCTCTGGGAAGTCATAGTAATAACAATGATAGCAGCTAACAAATATAAAACACCTAAAGTCAGGATCTAATGCTTCTTATAAAATTTTATGTAACTACTTTTATAATCTCCATTTTACATACAAGGAAACTGTGGTACAGAAAAATTAAGAAACTAGGTCAGTGTTCAGTACTTGAGAAACCATGCTTTGAACCCAGAAAATTGATTCCAGAACCACATACTAGAAATGTAACATTTTTATTCTGGAACTCATTCAAAGCTAGTAAATCTCCTATTTTTTTATCTTAGAGCTAGAAATGACATGGGGCTCATCTGTGCTAGGCTCCCGCCTTTGGACAAGTAAAGCATTATCCCTGTTTTGCAACTGAGGTCTGAACTGAAATGACATGTTCAAGCAAATCACAGAAACAAAGACTGTACTTGGTGAGATTTCATGGTTCTATGCAGACCCTACATTTAACTACATTAACAGAAATATGAGATATAAGTGAAATTTGGAGTTCTCTAAGGAGATAAAGAAATACCATTTTAAGGTGCTGTATCTAAACATACTATATGAGCATTAAAGCTGAGACTTTATTTAAGGACTATATGAAGTTTGTGAAACGTGAATCCTTGAGCTTTCCTTCAATGTACAGGAAAAGGTTCACATTTTCTTTTAAGAAAAAGTCACTATTTTAAGTGACTGTTTAAACATTTTAAGATAGTCTGATGTAGCACCATATTCCTTCCAGCACAAGTGGAGAGAGGAGTGTAATTGACAGTATACCGTACCTCCATACATTGTCAGTGACTTGTGCTCTTGAGCTTTCTGAGGGTTACCATAGCAACTTTTTTCTCTTCAAGTTAGCAGCCTCTTTAATAATTACAAACTTATAGCAAAAATAAAAATGAGATCTTAATCAGAAAAAAATTTTGACTTTTCACATCACAATTTCTTTCTTTCTTCTTTCTTTTTAAGTAAACACTACCCCCAACATGGGGCTCAAATTCACAACCCCAAATTGATATCAAGAGTTGCCTGCTGTCGCAACTGAGCCAGCCAGGTGCCTTTCACATCAAGATTTCTTAAATCCAAATACTTCCCTCTCAACAAATTGGGGGAAAGATCTGCATTTCTTTTTTTTTTTTTTTTAAGATTGTATTTATTTATTTGACAGAGAGAGAGAGAGAGAGATCACAAGTAGGCAGAGAGGCAGGCAGAGGGGAAGCAGGCCCCCTGCTGAGCAGAGAGCCCAGGACCCTGAGATCATGACCTGAGCCAAAGGCAGAGACTTAACCCACTGAGCCACCCAGGCACCCAAGATCTGCATTTCTTACAAATTTATCTATTGAAGCTGTGTTTTCCTACTTTATTCATTCATTTATTCTTTACTGTTTTTGAGTAACTAGTAATGCTATAGCCCACTTTATATTAGTGGAAGTTTTTAATTGAATGAGATACTGGTTCCTTTCAGGGACTTTACCTTCTAATGGGGAGGTAAACATTAAGAACTTGTGTTACAATCTGAAAATGAAGTTAAGGAAACAATTGCATTCATAATAGTACAAAAAAGAATAAAATACTTAGGAATAATTTTAGCAAGGATAATGTAAAACTTATACTCTGAAAACTACAAAACATTGTTGAAAAAAATTTTAATGATCTAAATGAATGGAAAAACTTCCCAGGTTCATGGATCAGAAGATTCAAAATTATTATGACGATCGTCTCTAAACTCATCTACAGATCCAATGCAGTCCTTATCGGAATTCCAGCTGAATTTTTTTGGAGAAATTTGCAAGCTGATTCTAAAATGGCTATGCAATTTCAGAGGACTTAGAATAACCAAAATAAACCTAAAAGGGAATAAAGTAAGAGGGCTCATATTTCTCAATTGCAAAATTTACTAAAAACAATGGTAAAAGGCTATCATAAAATAGATATATAAGTCAACAGAATAGAATTGAGAGTTCAGAAATAAATCCATGTGGTCAGCTGATCTCAACAAGGGTGTCAAGACCATTTAACAAGAAAAGAATCATCTTTTTCAATGAATGGGATGGGACAAATAGAGGGCCACATGAGCAAAACAATGAAGTTACACACAGTACACACAGTACAGCAGGTACAAAAATTAATTCAAATTAATCAAGGACCTAAATGTAAGTGCCAAAACTATAAAACTCTTAGAAAAAAACTTAGGGAAAAATCTTTATAACCTTAGATTTGGCAAAGAATTCTTAGATATGGCACCAAAAGCACAAACAATGAAAAAAAAATAGACAAAGGGGACTTCATCAAACTTAGAAACTTTTTTTCTTTAAAGTAGCTTCCATGCCCAATGTGGGGTTTGAACTCATAGCCCTGAGATGAGTCATATGCTCTACTAGTTGAGCCAGTGATGCATCTCAAAATTAAAAACTTTTATGTTCAAAGGACACCATCAAGAAGTCATTATGATACGTGAAAATATTTACAAATCATATATCTGAATAGAGATTTGTATCTATAACACATAAAGAATGCTTTCAACTCAATACTAAGAGGACAATTCAATAAAAAATGGGAATGGAATTTGAATATACAATTTCGAAAGAAGATAGATGAATGGCCAGTTAGCACATGAAAGAAGCCCAACATTATGAATCATCAAAATTACAAATCAAAATTACAATGAGATTCTATTTCACACTCTCTAGGATGGGTAGAATAAAAACTTAAGTAACAGTAAGTGTTGGTAAGGTGAAGAAATTGAAACCCTCATACTTTGCTGGTGGGAATGTAAAAGGGTACAGCTGCTTTGGAAACAGTCTTGCACTTTTCAGTGATTCAATATAGAGTTATCATATGACCCAGAAATTCCACTCATTAGTATGTCCCCAAGAGAAATGAGACCATGTGTCCGTATAGAAACTTGTGCGTGAATGTTTTATAGCACTATTATTCATAAGAGCCAAAAGATGGAAACAGCCTGAATCTCCATTAACTGACACCTGGATAAACAAATGTGATTTATCCATACAATGAAATATGATTTGGCCATAAAAAGGAATGAAGTACTAATATTTGCTACAAAATAGAAGAACCCTAAAATAAGATTATGCCAAATAAAAGAAGCCATCACAAAAGAACATATATATATGATTTCATTAATGTGAAGGTCCTGAATAAGGAAATCTATAG